AAAAAAAAAAAAAAAAAAAAAAACACTGCTCAGCTTCGCACACAGAGCGCCTCCTTTCACAACATCATCAAAATGGCCGAAAAATTGGGTGAAGCGCAACTGAGTTTCGAGTTCTCAGAGGCAGGAGGTCGAAGGAGGAGGATGAGGATTTTTGCAAAAGTGGTACGAGATGGATCAGGGGATAAAAATCCACATGAGTGGGCTTGTGAGAAAAGCCAAATGCATACAGCTGGTGACTGTTTATTTTGGCAAAAATTCTGAAACAAAAATAAAATATAGGTCTGTGCCGGGGGATACAATAATAATAAAAATCAGAGACAAAACTGAGAAATGGATCTGCACATGCATGCACCAGCGACATTGTATGTAATAAAATGATATCCAATTCACATATACAGAAATGATGTCTGGAGTGTGCGCGTGTGTGTGTGTAGAAAAAATGATTTGTGTGGCGGGTTCTGGACGAGAACACGCACGCCAGCAACGATAATAATAGGCACACTTCCATATCTTTCGAAAGAGACGGCTATGTGCTCGGTGACATGATGCCATCCTTCACAACCTTCCACACGATGTAATCGTAATAATAAAACGACCCATCATCAACACTGGTCGGCAAAGAACACGTTGCCGGTATCAGTATCACAAATAATCATCACATTGGATAATAAATTGGCCCGCACAAATTAAAAATAAAAAAGACGCTTAAAAAAGATTGCTTGCACATTCATTCAATTACAAACCAAAAAAAAGTGATGCCGAGGTTCGTAGGTTAGAAAGACATAATTTCAATACACAGTAAGGGAACGAGGCATAAAATCATATCAGAGGAGAAGATTGAATATTCATCGCATATTCTACTACTTCTCCTTAAGCAAAACCAAATCCTTCAGTACATTCACGTACTGCCAACAGCAACATATCGCGAAGTTTCTCGTACGACTGATACAGCGGCAGATCCAACTGATTGAAGCTGCAAACAGAGGGCAGTCATTTCAGAGCGTAACGAGTTCCAAGAAGAAATACGCTGCTTGCCGATCACTGGCCAAGCCAGGAAGCACAGAACCTCAATGCTTTAACAGAAAAGTTCTAAAGTGCTACAGAAACAGTGAGGCAAATGCAACCAACCAGGTATGAGCCGTCGGAAGCCGATCGGCCGAACGCGAGTCCATATGAATTGAAAATTTTTGGACACCATTCATACCCTCCAGTGATGCAAATCCCTGCAGCGGTACTTTGCTCGTACCAGTTACAAACTGCAGGAATTTTGCACGATCCGCATCCTCAAATGATCGTAAGGCTCTCCAGAACCATTGTATCTAAAACAACGAACGATGAAGTCGCAAATAAATAAGTTTTATTAAATTTTAACAAAATAGGAAAAAACTCCCTGCACACTTTCTAGCAATGTATATGGCCACTATTTCCCGGTTTTTTTGAAGCCAGCCTCCCATTACACTTTTTTCGAGTCTGCATGAGTATCGTGCATTGCCGCCTAATTGCGCTTTTCCTGATTAAAGCATTGTATTTCCCTGGTCCGACGATTTTAAGGATGTGGGCGGCTTTTCCAGTTTTTTTCAAGATATCCTTTAAGCAGTTTTCCATTTTCAAGCAAAATTTCAAACTTACCGTAACCCGGTCACTTCGCACGTTTTTTGTTGTACTTTAAGCTCCCGCGTCCGATTACTCTTAAGCCCCAGATTTTTTTTTTCTACATGGTGTTTTGGTGCCGTCCATTGTGAAAAGAAGCGCCGTTAGCTCCTTTTCATACGCAGCCTGTTCCAGTCGTTGCCAGCACACCTTCACAACCATTTGATCATCAGTGGTCCCGATTACACTGTTACAACTTTTATTGCAAATTACAAACGCGCAGTGCTCTCCAAATAAAACTGCGTGGAGCTTAAAACCGACAAAGTGAAGAGGACATACCTGAGGTGAAGTTCGCGTATAGCTTTTGTAGTCCGTGTTTGCATACAAATCGTCTATGTCGAAATTCGGCAAACCGCTGATCAGTAACTCCAACTCTTGCTCGTTAAAGATTGATATCATGTTCTTCGGAATGATCTCATAGAAGCCATCCAAAAATGCCTTGAGCTGCTGGCTGATCGAACCTGAAACGCACACTCATACATGGATAATTTACTACCACTAGGATAACTGACAAACATTCAAGCCCCAAGACTATTATTACGCAAGATTCCATTGGATGCTATCAAAGATTTAATATGCTATCACAGGATGATACCAGAATAAGCTCCCACTAAAAAAAGAGCTCACACTATACGAGAGGGGGGAGGGGGATATCAGTGACAGAGCATACAAGGAACCTGTCATCTTCATTTGACAAACCAATTTCACATATTCCTCCTTATTTTCATCAGTGACTGGAATTGACGCTCCATTTTCCTTCAGCTCCCGCATATTCGTAACTCCAAATTCATCAATTTCAAGGCTGAAGGTCAATTCGGTACCGAATTCTTCAATTGGATGCTCAAGTAGGAACATCAATGAATTGTAGAAACTTGGGTCCTGAAAAAATGTGGCAAGCAATTCACGAGAACCAGATACTATTTTTCGACATTTTTTAAGAGCACCCTTCACAGTGGGAAAGTTAAACAAAATTGAAAATCCAGTGGAAAAAGAATATAAAGCATTTGCGTAGATACATTCGAGTCCTCCCCTCCTAGTCAAAAATACGAAATGAATGCGTGAAAAGCATATAAAGCCCATCTGAACGGAAAGGAAAAAGGAAAAGGAAAGTTGCCAATTTATAACATATCATGCCCATTACACATATGCGAACGAATGAGGAAAACGAAAGCAGTCTTTTTTTTTACTTTTAATTAATTACTATTTTTTGTCATAACCTTTTTCATAACCACGAAATATTCAAGTTGCTAAGAACAGTGAAATAATGTGTTCTTCCACTTCAATAGCATGTTCTTCTGTACACAGAGCGCTCAAACTGCGCCAGTAAAGTCGAACAGAATCTCAAAAAACAAATTTGAAATGAACCTCGGACTCCAAATCCTGCGTTCGAACCGGGACACTCAGAATATGTTTGTAGAATGCACGAGTGAAATAACATTCCAGCACCTTATTTTCATATATTGCCTTTGCAATTATTCGCCCAACAAACTAAATGAAACATCCGTAGTAGTGAAAAATACATTCGGCCTTAAGTAATGAAAAAAAAAATACATTTGGTCTTAAGATGTAATGAAAAAAAAAAACACATTCGGCCCTAAGACGTATTGAAGAAATACTTTCGGTCTTCCGTTAAACCAGCTGTCATCTCCAATGTAAAAAAAAAAAAAAAAAAAGTAAAAATCACACAAAATCATTTCCAGGAGCAAGCAACGAGTTTTGGAACAACATGCGTAAAAATCAAGAACACGGAACCTTGAAATAGTCCAAATGCTCCGGATTGATATATGATGTTTTGTTGATCATGTACGTTACTCGATCACCAGGAGCAGTAATGAAAAGAGCATAGTTTGGATTGAATATTTCTCGCGTGATAACCGTGAACCATTCACGCAACAATCCGCCAGCATCTTGGCCCTCTTCTCCTTCAAAAATAACATAAAATCTTGCTTTCCATTCGGGGCCACGGAGTCTGAAGAGCTCCCGGAAGCTATCGCTGAATAAGTGACTGCGACGTATTCGTACTGCGATGTCTTCGTTCCTGAAAGGATACACTGTAAGGAAGGGGGAAAAAACGATGAGGGAGAGAAAATGAGCGAACAATCGCATCATAAATATCAGATGAAGCCATCGTGATTATTAAAATTTCTGTGCAATAAGCCGAGAATCGTGAAATAACAAAAAGATTTAGGAAACCAACCGATTACGCCCATCACTTTTGATCTGCTTCAGGAAGTACATGCGTTTCACATCGAAATCCAACAACCTTGGCGTCTGAATAAGAATGGCGAATGGTCCATCGCTAAGAGTGTCACCGGCATGCCGAATAATGCGATTCAGCATATCACGATGCTTCTCTGAATGAAAAACTGTTATCAGAGAGAGCAGCAAAAAACAGCATTTTTAATGCGAGTAAGGTGAAGACCAAGAAAAATGACCTGCAAAACTGATGAGCTTCTGCGCATTACTATCTTCACTGAATTTGCTCGGATCGGCTGATGACAGGGCTGATCCATAAATGAGGAAAAATGCTTCAGCACTTGGTTGAAGAGCTAACACTGATTGCGGATCCAGCTCAGCAAGGTTCTTCATACACTTCGAAACCAGTTCCCAAAGCGGCTCCAGAGAATGCAACAATGCACTCATCTGTGCGCCCTGAAATTCTTACTTCTAAGATACAGCTGCAGTTCGTCAAGATTACCAAAACCGTTCACTCCCCCAACCTCCATGGAATTGCGGCAGAACGCAAAAATTTCACCGCTAAGCAAAACTATTCCGGACCACCTGCATAATTTCCTTTTGTAAGTCGATTGTAACATCCAGACTGACTCTGGAAGCCGAAATGTCGAAGGTGCAAGTGAATACAGAAAGCAGGAAGAGTATGAGGAAAGAAGGCAAGAGTGAGAAGTTTCGGCCTGTTAATTCATATACGTTTTAACTCAACACTGCGACAGGACCTCATCTGTATGACGGCAGCAGTGTTTAATGGAAAAAGAAGAGAAAGAGAAATATGCAAGGAAGGATATGAAAGGGCTACGACTGTAATTTGTACTGAGCACATTATAACATTACCTCCGCACAATCCTCGAAGAATTTGACTAATGATTCATGTAGAGTAGGCAAACCAGCGTATCTCGCTTAACTCGTCCTTTTCTTTACTGCTTCAAAAATTTTTTGAGACAAAGTGTGGTGGAGTCAGTTACACGAAGACAGTACATGCATTGCAGACTGTGCAGTAATGCCATTACAGAAAGCAACGGTACGTGTGCAAGCAGCGCCCACCTCCATCGCTTTTTGTTCGCTGTCAGGTGCTTCAATTCGTTCCTTACGCAGTACGTCTCGAATTTTGACAATTGTTTGCAACATTTTGAGGAACACATACTGCACACCACTCTTGTCGGTGAGAGCCTGCATTCGAGGCAACGGCAGCTGCCAGCAAGCAGCAGACGTGGAACGACGCAGCGGCGGTGGACTCGGCATATCATCCACCACAACTGTCGATTCATCGATATCCCTAAAACGGCTCGCATTTTAACAGCGCCCACCTAGCAGCGCCAAACGTCAGCACATCACCGTGATAACATAACACAGCAGCACACTCCATAGTGTATCTATTTGCCTCAAAAATGTGAAAATTATCGATCAAACAATTTTCTGTTATCTCCTGAAATCTTACGTATACACGACAACCCGATGGTTGCCTCGTCGTCGCTGCTCAGTTGAAGGACCGGCGCTAGTCGATGACTGCTGCACATCTTTGGCTGGCGATGTATCCTCTTTGTTTAGCATCGTCCTCAGGTCGATGTCAAGCTGTTCGACGGCTATCAAAAGCTGATTGCCTAATCGTTCGGCGGCACTAAAGATCAGGGACATGATAAGTGGTCTCGTCGGTTGTGTAAGAGCACGAATCATTTCCAGAAGTAGCGTACGACCATCTGCCAAACCTTCTTCCGTACAACTGCCTTCTGTTAGCACCTGAAAATATATGAACAGATAAAGTGCAGTTCGCTTCTTAAGCATGACCGAAAAGATGCAGCGCCGCTTCAATAGCCAATAAAGCGCTTCCTTCCCCCATTTTTCTTGCCCCCTCCCCCCGTCTCCTTTTTAAAGAAAGATAAGAATTAAGCTAAGCACTATTTCTCAAAAACCCTCCTTTTTACTAAGAGAAAACTATGCGGAAACAGGGATGCTACTAAAAGTAGAAGGGGAGGATTGCCCAAATTAAGAAACAAGTGGTAAGCAGAATGCACTAAGTGGTTGTCCACAACCCGCAAAATGACGTATCCGGAGTAAGCGCTCTGAATCAACAATCACCGAAGGGCCAGGCACTTTACCATCAAGCAAAAGGGCCAGATAATTCGCATACTTCGTACTGGTGACTAATAGAGGGATAACAGATGAAGCGTACACTGAATTAAAAAACAAGATAACCTTTAGGCCCTCATATTTAGCGGCAAAACTGAGCTTTTGCGCTTGCGGTTCAAAAAAAAAAAGGAAAAAAAAAACCTTTTTCCTCAATGAACTACAAACATAAAAAAGAGGTTCACTAAAATTCCGAGGTACAAACGTGTGAGTCTGCTATAATAGCACTGTGGCAATAACGTGCGATTATGACTAACCTTAACGATGTATTCCAGCTGTTGCGCCAGCGGAGCTGGCTGTTTATGTGGCTTTATCGACATTTTTGAAGTCGTATCATCCGGCAACGTTTGAACAATCTAAAAAAAGTCGGGCAGCGATTGTTTTGCCTGCAGATTTCTACGCATCTACCTCAATCATGGATCACTTTGGATGCTTCTTCTTCAAGCAGTGCTTCAAAATGGGGGATTTTTTTTCTTAGATTTCTACATGTATTCATCATGTTGAAAAGCTGACAATTCCCGGATTTTCTGTCATTTTTGGTCTTGCTAATTTAATAAACGCATGATATAAGAGGGGAACAAAAAAGCAAGTGTTGCTGTGCAAATCATGCATCGAACAACTGAATCAGAAAGTTTTTCCTTTTGCGTCAGCAGACTAGATCAATCAAGCATTTTTTCCTTTCGTCTTTCTCTTTCTCATTTCCATTAAGCATTGCGACCGTCCTACTGACGAGGCCCTGTCGCGGTGTTAAGTTACGGCGTATATGACTTAATGGACCGAAACGTCTTATCTCACTATTACATTCTTTTTTCATACTATCGCATCTTCGCCGTTTAGACGTTACAGCGTCAACCTGGTTGCTATAATCGGCATGACTTGGCATTGCACAGGGTCCGTCAAAACAACCACTGCTGTACAAGACCAGCTCAGTTAATGACAAAAGCGACCACCAAAACATCAATGAACGTAGTTTCCCCAAAACAGCATTCCTATGCAGCAGTCCGGGCTGCTTAAGAACTACATCATTAACGTTGTCTTGTGAAAATAATGAACGTTAGCGCGACAAAACCGACTGCTCGGATCAAACGGCCATTCTGCTTCTCTCTTTTTTTTACACCTGAGTTTCATGCACAGGAAAACCATCAAAAATTTGAACAAGCACCAACCGTGCATATAAGGCACATCAGCTTGTCTTGTAGCACTGCTGAAGAGCGAATAACCGAGCGGCCCATATGCTCCATGAGAATACCGAGAGGACTTTCTTCAAGCGAAGCAGCAGGCATGCTTACACTGACTTCTTCACGCCCTGAAGGCACGCCCAAAATCGACCCGATGCAGCTACCAGGCACAACATCAGCTTTTGACAAACTAAATATATTAACCATTATTTGCCAAGCAAAAGAGATTTTATGCAGTATATAATAAAATTTAGGATCTGAAAAACATGCTCAATATCATTCAGCAGCGGCAGCAGAAGATCGAAGCTGTGCAAACAACTCACACACGCCAGATAATTCGTTAAATTACATTGTGATTAATTTTAAAGCAGCGCACAAAACCCACTTGTAAACGAAATGCCAAAATCGCGAGAATGGTGGCGTAACCGATCCAGCGACTGCCTGCGACTCCGGTGTACGCAGTCTGTACGGCAAGAAGTGGCCAGGATAGTTTTTGGCAAGAATGGTTAGTGTTTCCAACACAAGGCGAATACTCTGCACCAAAACTGTCGGATGGATTGCAGCTGCAACACACGCTCTGAGGCACTACGCTAGTAAAAAAAGTGAAAAACCCGGAAAAATGGAAGTTTGAAAAAAGTAAAAAAAAATGCCGTGGGTATATGAATAACACATGAATGACCAGTAATGAAAAAAACAATATACCTTTCTCGGAATCCTTGAAAAATTTGACGGCCCGCTCATGCTGTCCAATACCACTTTGCACACAGATGCTGTCCAACCAACCCGACACCGTGCTCCCCGAATCATCGTACGCAATATTCTCCTCGTCTATTTCATTAAGCAGCGCTAACAAACACCAAATCACAAAGTCGCAGGTGACGGCATGAGCGCACAAGCCTTTGATAAGCCGCTGAAACAATGCAGACAAGAATTCAATGACTGCTGCCAACTGTCCTCGGCAAAAATTTTATTTATTACGCATTTTATGTGTTTGTGTCCCCAGCAACTTGTCCGCAACTTTCAACTCAAGGACCACTAAAACTAGGAAGCTAAAAATCTAGGGGAATGTCCCCCACTTAGGCGTGACCCAGCAAATTTAAATTTAGCTTCCGCATACCTGCAAGTAATACGAACGGCAATGCAAAATTCTGGCGGGGGAAATTGTCTTGGGGACCACGGAAGCTAGAAAGCTAAAATCTTATGGGTATGTCCCCTGCTTACGTGCGATCCAGAAAATTTAAATTCAGTCTTCCCGTGCCCGCGAGTAACATATACGGCCCCGTGAATCATTTGGTGGGTAGATCACTCTCTCGGGAACCGCAGAATCTAGGAAGCTGAAATCCAGAGGGATTGTCCTCTGGCCACTTGAAATCCTTCAAATTTAAATTCAAAGCAGTGAAAATCATTGGCAGGCAATCGTTCGGTGGACGGAATTGCACAAAAAAGCATGATCGGAACGGCTGCCCTGGTGTGCGCCGCTTTTTTTTCTATAGTGGACCTTGTCGCTAGTCACAGAGCAGTTCCGCGCTCCCCAGATACACTGCCTATCAAGCTTATCGTTACGGCCGATACCGCAATGAACTGCTGCTGCTATATCGATTCTGCCACTAAGCAGCTTTCACTCCACAGAAATCCACTATGAACTGTTGTCACTCAGCAACTTTTTACAATACTGATTTTTTGCTCAACTTTTTCTACTGCACTGAATGTAAGGCATCGTTTAGTTACTCAAAAATACAGGTTCCCTACACGCTGAGATTCTAGTCTTTTTGCATGCTGGCAGTGCAATGACACAGAAGAATAATAACATACCTGTAAGCGTTGCGTGTTCATCTGTACCGGATCAGTAAAGAAAAGGAGTAGCAGCGTGACGATGGCATCACGGTCTAGAAGCTGAGGAGTGCATCTCGGCGCAACTGTAGTGATTCCAGCAAACTCACCCAACAGAGGGGTGTTGTCATTTCCGCTCGCCGAAGGGCCTAGCCCAATAGGCGGCCCGCGATTGCGTTCTCCTGGATTTAACATAAGTGCATGACGTGCGAAACGCATGACTTGCTGAAAAAAATCACGTATTTTAATGCTTTTAAACTCACAAATAATGTTTCCAGCTCACCACTGCATCATACCATTATTATATATCGTCTCTGAAAATAAAAAGCCTTTGCCTGCTGATGTCGTTTAGACTTTCAGGGTTAATCTGGTTGCTACAATCGGCTTATAAAGTACCCAGTGATTACCTGTGTTTCAAATGAGGCACGTAAACGACGCGCTTCGGCCACAACATTTCGAGGTAGAACCTGTAGGACGGAGTCATCGGCATCGGCAAGTACTTGCGCACGGAGTGCTGGTGGAAGCGATTCAATGAGTGCTGCCGCATCTTCAGGATCTGCTACAGCATCTACAAAAGAACAAGAGTACAGGAAAGGCATAAAATGCGCATTCGATGCTTTTTTTTTCTCTCTCAAAAAGAATACTTTCCCAAAGCATTTTGAGTCGCTGGTATTTTAACAAAAAGTCAGCAGCAGTAGTACTGTTTGCTGAACTGTTCTATTCACGCCCCATGCATTTCAATGGATAAAAGCGGGAGCATCGCATAAAAGATGTGCACAAATGAGAACAAACCGGCCACATGAGGTGCATTTCCGGATTCAGCTCTGTCACGAGCTAATCGCACATTTCGTGCGTGCTGAGCCAGGATTTCTTCCTGAAGATCCGGTGGCAGCGCATTCAGAAATTCCTGATCAATTGGCTCCACAGCAGCAGCAGCGGCGGAACCATCGTTAGCATTTGCTGCCTGCCCAGGTGGCGGCCCAGCAGCATTTGCCACATCTTGTACAACTTGCCGTGCACGTTGCTGCCGAACATAGTCACGAATCACTTCAGCACGTATGTCATCTGGCAGTGCAGCCAAAAATGCCGGATCTACGCCGGCCGGAATCTCCACATCTGCAGCAAAATAAACAGAATGAGAAGTGCAGGACAAAAAAAGGACCAAAACCAATAGCTCAAACAAAAATCGAAGCAATTAGCATAACACAGTGAAATATTCTACATCGAATAAACAGGCAGTACCAGGCGCAGGAGTCATCTCCACCCCAGTCCAAAATGTCCGTTTCCCTTATTTTATAGACGTAGGGTCCGAGGAAGGGCCGAAGGAATTTAGATTTGGTAAATTTATATTCCGAGGACAGCACATGGATATGAAAAATCACATAATTTCAGGTTTAACCTCCTTATTTTATACTCCAGCACCAAACGAAGACAAAAGCATTGAACAGGCAAGCCACCCGTACGGAATTAGCATGGGTGGAGGAAAGAGACAATCTGAACGTGCTGCGGATCCTGGGCGCCAACCGAATTATGATGCATCTAGCCATCTCTGCTTGTTGCTGCTTAGATATTGAAGATACGTTCAAAGGGCAACTTCTATACTGTGGGTGTATTTACCCGTGCGAGGTATAGCTAAACACAGAAATACAATGCATTCCGTCATCTGTCCCCCACCGTCACAGCTATATCGACTGGAATCCTCTTTTTTTTGAATCAGTTAAACTTTACCTCCTATTATCGCCCTATAATATTCATCGTTGCCTGAAGGGCCAGCGATCTGTCCTTCGGCGGATGGTCCAGCGGTTTGCTCCGCAAGGGATGGAGCCGCAGCTAACTCTTCCACGGGTGCTGCGGTGGGCTGCCCTTCAACGGATGGAGCTGCAGCCCGCTCTTCCGCAGCTGTTATCGTCGCTTGCTCTGTAGCGGATGGAACTGCTGTGCGCCCTTCTACTGCTGCTGTTGTTTCCGCTTGCTCTGCAGCGGAAGGAGCTGTAGCGCGTTCTTCGGCAGGTGCTGTGGCCGCTTGCCCTTGAACATTTTGTCTATCAGTAGAAACGTTTGCGGCCGCTTCTTCCACACCCATGTCTGCTGCTACTAAGTGCTCGGACGGGCTATCTGTAGCATGTTCTTCCGTGAACGTGACTGTAACTGAATCTTCCGCAGAGCTGTCTTGACTGATGCGTCCCAAAATTTCTTCGTCAGCAGGGAATTCCACAGATTGTTCATCGGTTACCGCCTGTCCATCTCTGGACAGTGCAGCAGCTTCGCCTTCACTAAAGAGGGCAAGAGCTGACCCTGAATATGTTCCTTCCCTTCGAGTTCCTGCAAGCAGTTTCACTGAGTGCATTTAAAAGGCAGTTATACATTGGCATTTCATTGAATCGCAGACAGAGACCGCAATTTCCGTGCACGTGGATGGTATTCTATCAGTTCTGGAAGCAGCAGCCAGTGTAACACTGCTACTGGTGATACTCAAGCCACCGGAACATTACTACACATCCAGGCAAAAAACCAACCAATGAGTCTCACCCAGCAAGTAGAAAGGCAAAAAAAATGAAAGCAAAGATGCGACCGAGAATGTATGAATACTGCAAAAACAGAACCAGAGCGGCCCGATGGTTCCGGCTCAGTGGCTTCATCTCCTATGTCATCAAGATCGTAGAACATTCCGAAATGTCGTGATTCATAGTCAGAAGCCAAATTTGGATCATAATCTTCAGCACTTAGTGCATCCTAAAATCACACATTACATTATTCGTGCTATAATTGCAACAGCAGCAACTATGCACATGCAGAGCTTTTCATAACATTTCCATTTTTGATCCGACGGAAGAGATCAGGCTTAGAATGGGATATCCCATCAACAAACGGCAGTGTCCAGTTATTCCTTAATTTCATTCAATTTTATGTTTTTTTTTGTTCACCTCTTTTCATATACCTTCCTATCCTTTCTTTCCATCTCTTTTCATCCGTTTTTAATACACTTTCTTATTTACTCTTTATTTTACTGCGCAAAAATCCCAAAAAAAGGCTTTAGTCTGGCTTTTTCATCGTGTAGGGGCCATAATGGTCGAGCAATACGGCCGAACAAGGATGAGGAGGAAGGGGAAGGGGACGTGGAGGGGTGAGGGAAAGGAGGGAGGAGGTAGTGGCGAATACCGTAACTAACTGCTTTTTAAGAAGCTGTGCTTATTTCCGTCAGCCGGTTAAGTTCAAAACGGACAAGACAATTTCGTCAGAGAATGATGATGAAATTGAACATTAATTGCAACTGGCGCCTTTCGGCAAAAAGGCGCACCCGACTTCCGCTCACCCCTCCTCACAGCGACATCGCAATTTGATGCCTATTTGCAGCCTTTTGTTCGAGCAAAACACTTAATTTTTTAACGTTAAGTTGAAAATTTCCGCCTGCGCTCAACTGCTTATGCCTCAACCTAACATTTTCTTAATCATTTCAATGCTTTTATAATTACATTTTGCATCCCGAAAATTGTATGCCATTTCCGCCCAGGTATAGGCCATTTCCGCCCAGGTACAGCATT